AGGAGTTTTATATTTAGTATCTGTGTTAATTCCTTGAAAAAAAGTATTTATATCTTCCAGACAGAAGATTGAACTAAGTGGGACATCCTTTGCCTCTCTACCAGTGGTAGTGTTTACTGTCTTCCACCACTGCTTAGTAGTGGATCCATGCTTCTCATTTTTGCTATTGACGGAGTTGATCTAATCTGATTTTCAATTATGAGTTCACTTATCCTTGGCAGAGGTGAGTTTGCTTCAACAATCATACCTTTCTGGGAAAAACCTTTGTCTTTTCTTTAACAGATACTTTACAAGAGGTGTAATAAATACAGGATCATTCGATGACATCTTAACCCTTTTCATGGGGAAACAGATTTCAATCGCAGGGCATATTACAGAATAAAAATGAGAAACTGCATTGTTTAAGTCTCTTCCAACTCACTCCTCCAGTCAATTCCTTTCAGGAACTCAATCATTKCTAGTTTGCAGTGTGGTCGAGTATACCGAAATTCAACCCATTTTCTTGTGGCTTCGGTCTTTTTTTTGGGATGAACCACCACACACTTGTGATCAGTGTTAATCGATCAGGCTATGCATCTTACAGATCCAAAGTCTAATGGTGCATTAGTTAGGAAAACTTCCAGAATTATGCTGCCACTAGTTGGTTTCTTGACGAGTTGAGAACCACCTCCAATCCTTTCTTTTCTGTCTTTGGTTATAAGATTAAAACCACGTGGAGAGACCAGGTTCTTGTCAAAACGGTCATATAGCCACGTCTCGGACATAAAACAAAGATCTATTTGGTGACTGGATAGATCTCCTTGAAGAGCTTGAACAGCTCCAGGTTCATTGTCTCCTTCGGTGTCATTGCCTTTAGTTACTATTATTGGCTTTCTTTTCTGGCAGAAAGCCGAAAAGTTTGTTTCGTGTGCCTTTTACGAGGCCTTGAAAGTAAACTACTTCTAGAAAGAGGTAAACTGCTTCTATCTAAGTTCTAATTGCTATCAAGTTCTTATACAAGACACAAGTATCCAGGTATCCAGGACAAGCGTCGACGTAGGTTGGTACTTCATGTATGACCACACGAAATGGCACTACCTTGGGGTTGTGTGTTGTGGTAGTGTTGCATCGTTCGGTGTCAGCGTTAGTTATCCGTGTAGGTGCAGCACATGTAGTTGGTGTAATACCCGTAGTACCCGTGGTACCTGTAGTACCCGAAGTGCCTGTAGTACCTGTAGTATCCGTA